CTGCCCCGCTCTAATTTGCATTACCACGCCCCCTGTTCCGCTCTGATTTGCATGGCCACGCCTCCCCCGAACCCCGCCTCGCGCCGCTCTCCCGCGACAGCGCCCCCTGGCGGCGCGGCGGAGCCTCCCCGAACGGATCCGGGTCCCGAACGGATCCGGGTCCCGAACGGATCCTGACCCCGAACGGATCCGGGTCCCGAACGGATCCTGACCCCGAACGGATCCTGACCCCGAACGGATCCTGACCCCGAACGGATCCTGACCCCGAACGGATCCCGGTCCCGAACGGATCCGGACCCCGAACGGATCCGGGTCCCGAACGGATCCGGGTCCCGAACGGATCCTGACCCCGAACGGATCCGGACCCCGAACGGATCCGGGTCCCGAACGGATCCGGGTCCCGAACGGATCCGGACCCCGAACGGATCCGGGTCCCGAACGGATCCGGACCCCGAACGGATCCGGGTCCCGAACGGATCCTGACCCCGAACGGATCCTGACCCCGAACAGATCCGGGTCCCGAATGGATCCCGGTCCCGAACGGATCCGGGTCCCGCCGGGGAAGGAAGCGCTGCCGCCGAACGCCGCGCTCGGCCGCGCTCCGTGCCGCGGGCAGGAAGGAAACGCCGCAAAAGACGAGGAGCAGAGAGGATGGGAATAATCCCAAGTGATGGCTGTAACGATGGGAAGGGGTAGAAGAGAAGGAGAAGAGCCAAAAGAAGTGACCAGAGCTCCTGTCAGGGGCAGCGAAGCGGCACAAGGCGAGGTGTACTTGAGGGACGAGGTCTGAGTCGGGATTAACGGCGCTCCAAAAGGATCAGGGTGCGGCGTGCAGGCAGGACGGGCCGAGCAGGGACGGAAGGGAAAATGGGAAGAGGAAGAAATTGGGCCGGACTGAAGGGGACCGGAGGCATCTCCTGTTTCCCCGGCCGATCCTTTGGTTGCACTTAAGCCGGGGAGTGGAACACTGGATTTTCTAGTGAGTACTGGAACATCTTGGGCCATAGGTACCGGCTCTGAGGGACCTTTGAGTGGAAGGTCATTGTTGCTGCTGCAATGGGAGGAAATCTCTCAGGGCAGGAAATCCCTCAGGGGCAGGAAATCCCCCAGACAACCCATGGAATTGCGCTGGGAACGCAAAATGACCCCGTCGCTTTCTCCACGTGCCGAGTGCCCTTTGCCGTGGCTCGGGCAGGGTTTCTGTGCCGCTTAAATGCGCAATTAACTTTCCCAAAGGGCTCTGTCCGGTTTGCATATTCCTCTGGAAAATGCATGGAAAGTGCAGCTCTGCCCCTTCTCCAGGGAAAGCTGGGGGAAGAGGAGGAAATGCCCGGGGAAGTTTCAGCTGTGCTCATACCACTGCTTTGGGCTTTGGGAATCCCGGGTGTAATAAATGGAATTGATTCGTGCTAACTAAATTGTAACTATTTGGAAAGTTTTTATCAGAAGCAATCAAAAGAATCGGTGTTACAAGGCAGATGTGCCCCTTTACAGATGTTACATGTTAAAATTGAGGTAGAGGATGGAGTTTGGAAGATCAATGATGTCCCAAGAGAAAAATGGCTCCGAGATAGACAAAATTAGAACTTTAGGCATGGGTCTAAAATCAGTAAATATCAGAGTAATTAGTAACTCACATAGCACAACGCTTAGTACGCACGCACAAACCTGTAAGCTCATCCAAAGGACAACGAGGAAGAGGAGAAGCCTTCCCCAAAAGACCCCAAAAGAAGACTGGAGACCCCCTAACAACAAGTGAGGCGTGTGCTGTGAGGAAAAGTGACGTAAAGTCAGAGAAATGGGAAATAGGAGGAAACTGATGGGAAACATGAATGAATATGTAGAAGCACACAGTATATGAGTTTAGCTGGAAGTGCTTTGTTTTGTACGAGGGGCAGGGTGGGGAACCCCCTCCGTACCCCGGTGGGTTTTGTACGTGAGGTGGGGTGAGAAGCCCTCCCCATACCCTGGGAGGTTTTGCTTATGCTTTATTCATACGTAATTATTAGCAGATTTTATATATATAAATTGTAATTTTCTGCTAAATTATATTTTTTTCTATTAAACTGTATTTTTTTATTCCAAATTATTATTTAATTTCCTAAATTTTATTCCTTTTTAATTAAACTGCAATTAACCCAAGAGGCCTAGTTGTCAAAATTCTAATTTCATTTATAAAACGAGGCAAGAGACAAACGTGAGTCGGATGAAAGCTGAACCGAAGGCGGTAAGAAAAGACCAACCCCGATAAAATGAGAGGCCCAGCGAGGACTGGAAATGTTAACAGGCTCTTTTTTAGAGTTTGGGTTATTGCCAATTCGCATTTACCGCTCTTATCCCCCGGAGAAGAAGCCGAGCTCGTCAGAAGAGCGGTGCAAGAGCTGCGGGAACTGAAGCGCTGACGTTCCCGGGCTTGTCCCAAACCCCGGCCCCCTCTCCTCGGTGCCAGGCCCAGGAGGCACTTTGCGGTGCTGGATGTGAAAGAGGTTTTCTCTGGTGCCCCTGGGGGGAACAGCGGCACCGGGTCTTTGTGCTAAGTGGGTCGGGAAGGCTACACCCTCCTGGTACCTCAGCCAGTGGGGAAAGGAAGAGGGAAACCTGCGGCCGGGAGTTAGGATAAAAGGAGGCTGTGCCCTCCAAAACCCTGAGAGAGAAAAGGCCGCGGGCATGTGCTGCAGTGAACTTTCTGCCTTTATTTGAACAAAATTTAAGAACTCCTCTGTCTCCTTTTTGGACATAAACCTCTTGCGTTTGTGGATCGGCAGTCACAAAGTCATTCCCCTTATCTAGCGTTACAGCATGTTTATTAATTTAACTTCGAAGACATCGTTTACATTTTCCTAAAAATGTTTTCCCAAACTACGCCTCCCCATTCTGAGTTATTTCATGGTCTCTGCTGTTATCTCCTATCATAAACAGTTCATTACACGCTTTTCTAGTGGTCATTCCGAAGCTGTCTTGCCTTGGCTTCTGGTCAACTTTTTCTCGTTGCTCCACCAGCTGTCCCCTTCGGGCCGGGTTTTGTGTATTCGCAGTAAAAGCGAATCTTGCGCTATCTCGTTTGTTACGGTTAAGCATAACATTGTACACAGTTTCTTCAGCAAGCAAAGAGGTGAAGTTCGTTTTATATCAACTCTCATCCTTCACAAGGACGTGTCAAATTCCCCCCTCCGGGAGTCCGGCAGCGCTCAAGGGCTCGGTGTGGAGTGACCCGCTCGGAACTCCGCCAGGCGTTTCCCCGGTGTTTCCCGCAGATTCAGGGCGGGACAGGCCGGGATCATCCCGGCTCCAGACACGTCAGTCCAGCGGCCCCGCTCTCCGATTCCAGCAGGGAATAACCCGGGATCCAGCAGCGCCGGGATTCCTCAGCACCCCCCGGGTTATTCCTGAGCCACCTCACCGGGAACGGGAGCGGAATCCTTTCACTGCCGAGCCTCACTGCGCGCTTCAGCGCCGCTCCGAGCCCGGCCCCCAAAAACAGCAGCAGCGGCCCCAAGGCCCATCCGATACCAGCCTTTAGAGGATTACAGAGCCCTTCATCACTCCTAAATTCACGTTCTGTTCTTCAACCGATAAACCAGGGGAGAGCGCGAACGCAGTCCCCCACTACCACAAATTATGCAGTCGAGTTTCCCGCATTTGGGGAAATCGCAGGGGTCAGCACACCCGGAGTGCAAGGGATGAGCCTCGCCCTGGGAAAACCACCTGCCTGATCATGGTGTCTCCCCTGCCAGGTAAGTATGCCCGAGCCCGCCCAGCGCCCAAACACCCTGCCCGCCCCACGCCTCCCCAACACACGCCCAGCCCGAGCCCGGCCCCGCACCCAACCGGCCCCGCGCTGCGGCCCGGCCCGCACGGCC